GGACTAATACGCTTTTTTCTGTCCCTTTAAAATTCTATAATACAGAACTCGTAGCACCCTAATAGGGGGTTTGAATAAAATAGAAATTTAATTGTAATTATAGGTTTATTTAAAATTTTTTGGCCAGTCACTGTTTCCCAACCTTGGTTGTCGTGATATTGTGTAAATAACTGTATTTCAGCTCACAGAAGTCATAAGCTAGTGATCTAAACACGCAATGAAACTCTCTCTCTCTCTTTTTTTTTTTCTCTTTTCAACCGTATAAGCTGATACGATTTTCATTTCAGCGGATTCGGATTTAAATTATAACAACTTAGTTTGGTGGAATGCCATCAGAAGAAAATATATATGTGAACAGCTTCTTCCACAATTACATTTATGATTTTTAAAGCTTGATTTATCATTTTATACTTCATTTGAATTATGATGTTACAGGATGATAGGTATTTTTTTTTTCTTTTTGTGAAATAGAATAAGATGAGATAGGATTACTTAAATTATTTTGCACTCGACCGAATGAAGTCTCATTTCGTCAACAAGACTCCTGTATTAAACCCATTACATATTTAAATACTACATTCTTAATCTAGTCTCTTAGGAATTTTCATGAATTAGAACAGCCGAAGAGCCCTAGATTGAACAAAACGTGTTGTCGGCAATGGCTGTGACAAATATAGTGTGATTTGAATACTATTATTATATACTCTTCTAATTGTTGAAAATTCCCAAGGGAGTAAATTAAGACTGTAGTCTTTAAAAATGTAATAGGCCTAATACTGATGTCTTATGACAATTATAATTATAATCATTCATCGCCGGCTTGTAAAAGGCGTATACACCACAATTACTAAGTGAATTAATTAGTCAAAGAAAATTACAAAAAAAAAAAAGTAAAACAATATATGTAAGAGAAAATAAAACGGATTTAAAACTTGTTATACATAATATTAAATAAAATCTGCTGGTTTAATTAAAATAAAAAAGTCGTTATGCTAATAAATTCAGTATGGTAATTGTTGTTTTTTATTGTATCCCAGTGATCGTAATTATAATTAACATTTTTGGGGTAGGTGTTTTGTTTAAGCTTTATGTACTACTGCCGACAAGATCTTTCGCTCAGCACACGATTTTTCTATTTCTTTTTGGTGGGCTACAGAGGTCAATTTCGGGTTTGTTTATTTAAAGAAAGCAGATCAATTTCTGTCAAAACTTGTTTCTGAAGTCTTTGTTTCCTGTATTCTCTAGACATTCTTGTTCCATTTTAAAGTGCAGTATACTTTCATTTATATATCAGTTTGGTACCATTATCCATTTATTCTACTTTTAAATAATTATATTAGAACGCAATAGTCCGCCACTAGTTGATTACCCTTTCTTCCGATTATTCTTCATCAGCAAATAACTTGACTTTTAATTAACATCCTGTCTTGTCTCTCTCAGTCCATCACCACGAGTCACTACACCTGCCTTTCTGTATGCATATTTGGTCCTTTTTTTATTTGTCACACGACATTTTGTTACGCCTATTATATTTTTGAATACTACACTCTTAACCTATTGCTGCAGGGATTTCAAGTGTGAAAATTTTTGGGGCCAGATCAAGACGGTAGTGTTAAAATATATAATAGGCCTAACATAATGTCTTATGACAAGTATAATCAGTAATAATTCTTCATCAGCTTCAAAAAGACGTTCACACCATAACAATATTAGGTCTTTGAATATTTGTTTCAAAGATCAAGTAATCCAGATAAGTCCAGGAAAGACTATACTGGCTTGTTTTTCGAAATAAATAGTTCATCTTTATATCTGTAATTAAAAAAAATATCCATAGTTGAAACTGAAAACTTGTATTTTTAATGGACAGGTGAAAATCGGTAAGCCGTGCTTTGACTTCTGTTGGGTGTGTATTTTTGTTCGTATTCATTTAAATTTTTCGTGCAAAGCATGAGATGTAAATCTTATTAGACATAGCTCATGTCATTTTTTATTGACACTACACTTCACGCAAGTGTCACCTGTTTCTGGTTTTGTAAAAATGAGATTAACGTGTCGTACTGTGAATTTGCAGATCTATCGTTCGTTTACCGCTCTAGGTGGGGGTCTTTTTTTAAAAAAATGTGTACATTTTTTTCTATACGAATTTCATACAAAAATATAGCTTCCCGAGTAATTAATTTGCAAAGTCAGTGAGGTACCCAATGAAAAAAAATAAATGTACCTAACCGATAACGAACCTTTGTAGAAAGGCCAACTGTGGCTGTAAGAAATCACCATGTTGTATTTAGTACTTGTATTAATTCTTGAAGTCTATATATGAGAAATGTGCTGATGACACTGGTTTGGTGCAGGATGGTGATAAATAATAGATTCTGAGCTTACTAAAACAAAGATTAATAAAGATATTCTTAGAGCTATTTAATTTATATTTTATAGATTTACTTCCATTTACCAGAAAAAAAAAACCTTCATCCCCATCTGTCTGTCATCCCACTTTCAGAATCCTCTATTCATCACTGTTTACCACGCTCCATAACTTTGATATTTAGCATTATTTTCAGCTAGTCTGTAATTGGACAGCTCCATCAAGGAAGTGAAACACTTCTGTTGGTTTTTATGTTGCATATAATTATAGTTTGATAAGAAGAAACCTTTGGAAAACAAGCTTTGTAAGTTTTTTTTTTTAGTGCAAAAATACCCATCTTTTCCATTTCGAAAATAACAGTTGAAACGAAAAAAAAGCCCTGTTTTCAATTAAATTGCAAAGGTAAGAAAAAGAATAATACTCCTTTCTCTTGCAAATACTAATTTATGGTTACTCTACTGACAAGTAAAAGCCTGATCAGGGGTTACTGAAAAAAAGAAAAAAGATTGCACTCCAGTATCACTCCATATTTTTGAGCTTATAAAGAGAAGGGAGCTAGTAAACAGCACCCACTGCTAACACTTTGGCTACTCTAATCCAATAGTGAGTTTAACCATCATTTGTGTAATGAATTCACAATCCTAAAGTGAAGAGTGCATTTTTGTGGACACAAGATGGAAACCATAAATTCCCAGATTCAGAGTTACTCACAGTAACCACTAGGCCAATTATCGAATTAATAAAAATTGTTTTAAAAAATAAATATAAGACTTTTAGGTAGGTAGTGCATTTTTGTGGCAAACCATAAATCCTCAGCATTTCTGTTATATTTTAAGTTTCATGCTTATATTTATGTTTTAAGTCACAAAACTGTCAATGAAACCTTGAAACACTATTACAGTTATTATTACTACCTACGCACATTCCGTGTGTGTAAAAGTTTGTTCAAGTACTAAAACATTTAATATTACCTAGAGTTCCTATCTATAAAGAAATAGTACAATTAAAGTTATGTCAAAGACTTCTGTTTAAAATATGTAGCAGTATCTGCCTTCTAAGGTGTTAACTATTAATACAAGTTTGCTTCACATGAAGAATACAACAGTTTATTCCAGACAAATGTGATATTTACCACTTTTTTGGTCCATGACAAAAACTCATTACTAATTTCTGAAGGTAATCATTTCTTTCATATTTGTCTCTTCTTCATTTTCTTCATTTCAGTTCCATTACACAATGATGCACACAGAAGCACCTCCAATCACACACACTATGTGGCACTAGTAGTATTCTCATGAGTTAGAAGATCATCTTTCAAACATAGTCCACACTTGACAAGTTTTTATTAGTTCCTTATAATTTCTTAAACTCAAGAAATAATTTTTTTTATAAATACATTCTAAGGAAGTGCCTTGTAATTAAATAAATGCAGAAATAATTATTCATAACAGAATTCCAGTAAAAACATTTTGGTTTTCATGAAACAAAAGAGATTATTTCAATAATTTAGTCAATATGTACTGGCAGCCATTTTTCTTTATTATCCCAACCAACAAATATTATAACTAGTTTAATCAAAGTTAACTATTAAAAAATATTTTTATTACACAAGCAGAATCTTAGCCATAATACATAATAAACACGATATTTAATTACATATTACGTTTTACCCATAAATTAAATTTCCTGACAGGAAAATATCATCATTTAGTCTTCTAACAATAAAAATCTTGTCAATTTAAAAATTATCACTCCTCTAAATACACATAAGTCAAAATTACTAACAGACCAACATATGCATTAAAATAACAATTGTTCCCTTAAGATTTCCACTATAACATAGCCAATTTCTTTAAGTCACATTTTTACTATTCATCATTTTTTGAAATATATAGCATAATATTAAACACAAACAGCTCATATTCTTCTGCCAAGATACCTTGATTTTTGGATAAGTATACACAGATGTTACAAATATATATTAACATCTCACATGAACACTAGGAAAACCACAAGCACATACTTTGAAGAATCAATACAGAAAGATATAGGAAAATGTGGGAGAAAATTAGGTTGTAATTTGTTATAATAATAAACAGCTTAACACAAGTTATCAATGTAAGTCACTGCAGTAGTTCCCCCGAAAAAGGTTCAACTGAATAATGTTGTTAAAACCATAATTTTCAACATTAATGGTTTGTAATCAAAATCCAGGTATTATAGCAAAAAAACTACACCATGGGAAAATTATAGTTACTTGAGAAATCAGTTATTAATGTGTTTTATCTTAGGAAGTTTTACAGCAGTTTCTTTTTCTTTTACCAATATTTTTTTTAACAAAACAAAACATTTCTGTTCTAAATTGTCTCATTGACATAGTACAAAAATTACTTGTAGTTCTTTACAAGATTTTCTTTAAAAAACATTTTCTAAACTTTCAGATTCTACAAACATAATGCTTTATCTTGATCCTGTTATTACTGACTGTGCATAGCTTCAGTGTACCCACATATCCTTATAGAATAAGGAATGTTGCCTTGTGTCTAACATCAATAACTTCTGAACTATGTACAAGTTTAGTGTACATAATTAAGTACAGATGACTAGTCTGACACAGTAAGAAATACCCTTGTTAAAACTGTTTGTAGCAAAACTTCATTTTAGTTAAATTTGTTGCATGTGTTTATTAAATAGTTAAGTGATTAAAACAGTTGTAATCATAGCTATTAACAGAAATAGTAATAGAGGAACTCCATGATAGGAAAAACATTATCAACGTTATTTTTTTATGAAGTAAGGAATTCACATTTAGTAAGTAACTCTTATTGAGCAGTTGAGGATTTCATGTGTAAGTTTTATCTACACACCAACTGCATTATTTCACTTGTAAAACACTGTAGTGCTTGCTGAACTATTTTTCAGATTTAACTTACTTGTAATTGTGCTTAACACACTCCTGATTTAGTTACTATTTGTCAGATTTAACTTACTTCTGATTTTGTTTCCTTACAGCTCTGGCAAAGAAATTTGGTGATTCCTATTACTGCTTGTGTTTAATCAAGCCTAATTATAAATTATTTTAGCTTCTTTTCTTTTAATCCTGGCTATGATAACCTGAGAATGAAATCAGTCGTAAAACAAACACTTTATATAATATTTACCATCACTCATAAAGCTTACCTACAAGTATTGGAACATTACCAAAACTACATACACTAATAGCGAAAAAAATTTACTAGGGAAGCTAAATAAAAGATGATTTGTTGAATACCCTCCCAAAAAACAAACAACAACAAACAAACCTAATGACAATCATAAATTACTTACCTAACATGAAATTCATTCATCTAAAATTTATGTGAGTAATTATATAGATGTACCTTTATATACATCATAATTTAAAGAATGATTTGGCATTAACTTCATGAGGCCCAAGGAATGTTGGCAGAACTTCAATACACATGATAAAGCCCTGTCAATGTGGATGACCACATTATGAAAAATAAGTTGTCAGACATTAAGACTGACTTGTTCAGAAGTAACATCACAATAGTTTAAGTGATACTGCATTAAAACTACTCGAGTTCTTCTAACAATAAGATTACTGCATGAAAAGTTTTTATCCTACTTGAGCAGTGGCGGGGTTATTCTTGTGTTCCTCGAACTGGTCCTTGGTTAATTTGCTTACAAAAAAAAAGGAAAGCACATTGATACAAGTTACATATTTTACGAAAAAATACAAACACAACACATCAGCAGTTTTTAGATTATTTCTAAATGTAAAAGGTGGTTTAATGTCTGGATTAGTACATCTAAAATATTTCATTCATCCTAACTGTATCAAACATATTGTTGGTGTGAATGTACTTTGTATTCACTATGAGAAATAACTATACACTGAATATGTTTGATACATTTCACTATGATATAGGTCCAGCTTATCTCTCTTTGGTGTTCAGAGTTACTGATGAGAAGTGGAATTCTCCGAAACTAGTATAACCCAATAACACATGTTGATCAAAGTGTAGACTGAACTGGACCTTCCTTGAACTTAGATTTGGAGATTAAACAATTTTTGGAATACTATGTTTATTATTTATTCTAACTGTAGTTTGAAAATTCCTTCTGATAAGCATTTAAAGCTCAGCCTCTACTTAACTCCCACAATAAAAATGAAATACTTTGAAGTTTTCAATTAATAAAACAATGAAATTACAAAAAATTACTAAAACCATGAAACATACCAAAGTCATAGCCAATACTCTTCAGTGTGCTTAATTCCTATATTCTGTACTATTTTAACATATTCTAAGTTTGAAGATTTAGGAATATACACAATGTATTTTTATTATTTCAAAACCAGATATTATTCAATGACTTTGAATTTCTTAATATTTCTTTGCAAACTTAAATATTTATTCAAAATACAATGCTTATTTACGACATCTTAAGTTTCCTATTTTTATAAGCACTAAAACAGCACTGAGGGAACTATATTTAATTGATAACTTATGCTGAGTCCTTGAACTTAAAAGTTCTACATTGCACTAAACCATCAGTTTTAAAGCTTTGATACATAGAAAGGTTGCATCTACACCAGAGTTGGGTTATGTTCTATATCACCTGATTCCAGTTTATATAGCATCTCAATAACACAGGCCTGCAATGGTTTGATTGTCTTGAAATGTTTACATGTTCTGCAGTAATTCCTGTATGCTGAATCCAAAAATGTTATCCATTTTTCTCCATCATGTACATATTTTTTAGAAAACGTCATAAGGCAATACATAAAAGAAAGACCACAACACATAATTTTGAGACTAAAAGACGTAATTTCACGAAAAAAATCGGGATGAATGAGGATGCACATTCATTTGACATCAATGTTCTTCCCATTTCTTCAGTTTGTTTGAATCTTTGTTAATAAACATAATAATAAAAAAATGTTCATTGTGGCAAATGAAATAATAATTTGATTTAAGTAAAAGTTTTTTCTTCCCGATTTTTAAAAAAATCTTTACGTGATAGAAAAAAAAATGAATACTATTTTCGAAATCCGCATAACTGAATTATAAAAAATTCTTTATTAAAACCAATACAATTTTTATGAAGTTTAAATTCGCAGGCCTGTGTAATTAAGCATTATTCATTATCTCAGTTTTTGTCTGCAGGTAGAATGCATTTTATGAAATAACTGGTTTAAAACCAATTAATTTTATAAAAAAGCAGTGTGCAGTATACTTATTCTATCCTTAAGGTTAGAGTAGAACATGTTCTTTATCTACCTCTAAAAGAAATTTAACTAGTATCACCATCATTAGATAACCATTTATTCCATTACCCATTAGATAACCATTTATTCAAGCTAGTTTCACCATCATTAGATACCCATGATTCAAGCTAGTTTCACCATCATTAGATACCCATGGTTCAAGCTAGTTTCACCATCATTAGATACCCATGGTTCAAGCTAGTTTCACCATCATTAGATACCCATGGTTCAAGCTAGTTTCACCATTATTAGATACCCATGGTTCAAGCTAGTTTCACCATCATTAGATACCCATGATTCAATTAAGAAACAGATACGGATTAACAACACTAATTAAAATTTAAAGGCAGGTAGAGGTAACAGAAATAAACACCAGAATGTAGTAAGCCTAACACTGCTTTATAGTCGATGTGCATAAGAACTATAATATGTTCCATACTTCCTTGACTCATGCAATTAACCGAGCGCTTCTTTTTCCTCCGAAACTCACTTACAGAAATAAATTAAACATACAGTTTGTATTTACAGTAATACAAGAAAATCATTCCTAGTTCACTTAGAATTTCTACAATAAAAAGCAATTTATAGACAGAAAACTCCCAACTCTGCAGTAATAAAAAATAGGCTAATTCATCGCCCATCCTAGCCAGGAATTCAATAAATTAGCTTGATTTATACATCTGACATCTCTCTTGGTGATGAAGAGGATGAACAATTAAAAAGAAAAAAAAATGTTTAATTTTGGAGTGGAAAAAAACTTAAACCTTTGATCAGAATATATAATGAACCTAATTTTTCATATTTTTTTTCTGATAAAAAGTCTTTTCAAATGCAAGATGAGGCTGTACTCTTAAGATTTAGGCAACTATACTTAACAATCAGTTGTAACATGTTGAAAAAATCCAGGACACCATGAATGAATCAAAATATTTAAAATTTTGTTCATAATAAGTATGTTATCACGTGCTTGTTTGAAACAAACTTAAATTAATTTTATAGTTCTAGTTTATTCTCTAGCATCTTTACCTCTTCAAGCTCCTTCTTTGTTTTATCTTCAAGAGTTCTAATATCTTCCATTGTTAGTCCATACCAACTGTCTATCCAACAAAAAACTTGTCGATGGAAATTCAGAAAAATTCGCCGCTCAGTCTACAGAAACCATAATGTATCAAACAGTCTAACATTTGAAATTCATAATTATGATCAAATCATCACCATTCTCATTAAACTGAAGGCACAGAAACACGTCCAACACCATTAATTAATAATCTGACAGGGAGATAAACAAAGATATGTATAACAAATAAAAAGTTATGCATACTTTATTGATAATGACACAGAGTTTCAATTCAATAGGTCCTTATAGCTTACCTTTTGAATAAGTGATTCCACCCTGTTCTGTAGACCAAACCACTTGAATTCTATAGTAACCAGCTTGTATGCACACATCACAGGATTAGATGTTTTCTGGAAATGCAACAAAATAAAGTTACTAAAGCAATGTTTCATCTTCATTCATATATTTTACGTACTTGTGTGGATGTAAAACCTGCATAACAACAAAAATAACACTTTCTATCAAGTTTTCACTTAAAGAAGTGCTTAACACATTCACTGCTGAAGACAAGTGTGCTTTTAGCATTTATTAGTGTGTGCTCACGACATACATGTGCGTCCTCAACTAGTTGATATTCACGAACACTGTTTGAAATGCACATTAGCATTTGCAAACAGTGAGACCATGAGTATTAAGTATAGGTGTTGTACATCATATTTCCATGCATAATTTTCAAAATTTGGCAGTTTTAGATTATGAAAGGAATGAACTGGTAGCTCTACTATCATAATGTTAAGTTTAGGCTGTTTATGTCAGTTTTTAAAAGATATTTTTGGTTAAAAATAAATTCAGAACCTGGCAACATTTCCTTAGTTTCAAATTGGCACTAACTTTGCATGTCATGTCATTGTGAGCATTGTTTTCAAATTTATTTGTGCAGTGATTGTTATCACCATGGATGATATGGGAGCAGGTCCATCATGTGCAAAGAAACAAAAATTAAGCATACATTTTAAAATCCCAACAATCTAAGAGTTGAAGAGTTTGATGAACTTCTTTCAAACCTGAAAAAAAATTAAACCACATTTTTACCAAACAGCAATGGAATTGAAGTAAAGATGACAAGGAGAGTTCTGATGAGGATTCAGATATACGAGACAAGTCAATCAATCATAATTATCCTGATAGGTAATCAAACATTAGTGTAAAACCATCCTACTTTCAATTTCTTTCAGCTGCTGATAGATGATAGTTTTTTTGAACTTCATAGTTGAGAAAATGAATTACTATGTACAAGAATTGTTAACTTCTGAAGGAATAAAAGAATCACATATTTCTAGATGGAAAGATGTTATAGCTTCCAAATAACATACATTTTTTGGTCTTCTTCTACATATAGGCCCAATTAAAATTAATAGAATGCAGAATTATTGGAAGAAGGATTGCCTGTTCAATTTTCCATGTTTTTATGACTACACGAGTTGCAACAAGTTTTTGCTCATTACGTGTTGCCTGCATTTTGTGAAAAATCCTGGAAGTAATGATCTCAAACCTGCTGATCAGTTATCCAAAGTAAGATCTGTGATGGCCTATATTTCAAAAATAAATGGAGAGAAATCTATTATAAAGGCAAAGAATTATCATTAGCTGAAGTAATGGTATTATGGCATGGACGTTTGGTATTCAGACAATGCATAAAAAAACAAAAGGCAAAACTATGGAATAAAAGTATATGTTGACAAGACCCAATGACTTTATTCTTATATTTGTAATTTTTACAGGAATTTTTGATGACTTAAGAGGGAAAGGGCATGTCGCTAACATTGTTTTGCATTTGATGCAAGAAAAATAATGGTCATTCTGTATATATGGATGGTTATTATAATGGTTACGATTTGGCAATCCAGTTCCAAGCAAGTAAAACTTATTGTACAAATACTCTTCGTAGTGACTGAAATAATACACCTAGAAAGATCAAAACAGCAAAACTGGAAAAACAAAAGGTGAAACTATATGCCCATATTCAAAAAGGGTTATGATTGGTAGATGGAGAAACAAAAAGAGATGTCATCTACATTTCAAAAGAAATTCAAAATGATATTACCACTTACAGGAATAATAGGTCAGGAAAGAAAAACCACTACCAATTTTCAGATACAATCAGTACATGAGTGGAATCGACAGGCAAGATCAGATGTTATTGTATTATTCTTGCTCGAGAAAAACTATAAGATAGTATAATATTTGTATTCATACATTACAATTGTCTCTATTAAATTCCTCTTATTTGTATAATCAGTACTTAAGGGAAGAAAATGATACTATATGATTTTTGTCTGATGGTAATAAAGGAGCTTTTACAACTTCCAGTCGCAAGTAAATCATCAAAACCTAAAGATGTTGAACAAAATGATACTATATGATTTTTGTCTGATGGTAATAAAGGAGCTTTTACAACTTCCAGTCGCAAGTAAATCATCAAAACCTAAAGATGTTGAACAAAATGAAAAACTCTTCCAAGTGGTAATATGATGAAAGGAAGTGCAGATTATGCAGTGAAAAGGGAAAGTACAAAGATTCAATTTATAACTGTGAAGCGTGTCCGGAACCACCCAAACTTTGTTTGGATCTATGTTCAAATTGTACCACAAAAAATTTTGATGTATTCATCATATATAGTGCATATCAGATACATACATTAAAATTAATTTGTCTTTTCGTTTCTAAGATTATTTTTCCATATATTTAAAAAACTTTCTAGATACTCGTGTGTCTGTAGAACTTCACCTCCACAATCTGAGTAATGCTGAGGAAGTGTGTGTGTCTTAAATAAAAAATATGAATAAGTTACATATATATTTGATTTATTGTTATTATTATCGGTGCTTACGTTGTAAACAAAACAACATTGCACTAAAAATTTTATCAGGACCTGCCACAGATGATGCCAAGCATCATAGCAGTTAATATATTAAATTATCAGATGTAAAGATGTAAATAGAGGGTAGTAGAGGAAATCTGTATGAATTTAGGACCCATACAACAATGACACTTTTTGAAAAAAAAGGCTTCACATCATGTAGTGCTTACTCCCTTAAAGACCAGCAGCAAATATGTCACCTCTGATAAAAGTTATCACATCTGAACAACAAACACTTCTAACACATGACATTATAACTATGGAACCTATTAAAATATAAATACAATTTTTTGATCATTTTATGACTTATAATACAATAAAAACCACAACATAACAGTTTGCTATGCCATTATGCATGGCCCATTAACCACTGACCTAAAAGCCAGTTTTCACACAGGTATTATTGTAGGCCTAATGATGTTATGTGTTAGGGTATTTTAACAGAAATGGTGCAATAACAAATCATTTATAGCTTCAAAATTAAAATAAGTATTTAATATTTATCTAATTCTACTTTATACATAAAACGTCTCCATGTCTTCTTTTCACTGATTTAGATAGTATGTGTTCATAAAAATATGTCACATTTTTACCTTTGCCTGAGGGCAAAATATGATTCTAAGTATGAACAATGGCTTGGGTTACAAAACTCTTGAGTAGTTCTCATAAGCTGAAAACTCATTAATAATTATTTTATTACCATTCTGTGGCTTAAAAAATAATAGAAAACCATTACCAACATACAAGGCAAAAGTCCCATACAGCCTAAAGATGCCTTGAAATGTAAACAAATATTCAACTTTACAATCTAATGTAACCATGCTAGCAAAGAAGATAGATCTATTGTAAATAGATTGTAGGAAAGAAAACAATTTCAGATATCAGATGATATATTTATGGTTTTTTCACCGTTCTCAAAGTATTTGATCTAAAAATAAGCATCAAATGAGTGTAAAAATTGCAGATATTTGGCTTAGTTTTTTTCCACTGACAAGATATATCTGCACAGGTAGGAATTTCACAGGATCTTTACCATCTCAATAATAATAATAATTCTAATAGTGCGAAAAAATTCAAAACTAGGGCTAGCAGTTTTGATTTTTTAAAATTACTTCATCCAAAACAAATGTCAATAAAACTTGTATCAAAAGAAAATGTAGAATCTTAACAGTTTAGTTATTTTATTTTGGAGATAATTTCAATAGATAAGTCACATATAATTCTCAAAACCTTGATTTCATTATTTTCCCCCCTATCAAAGCCCAGTATACTGTGTTGAAAAGGGTTAAATCACCAAAATGACACACTTATGACAAAAAAAAAGACCATTTCAAGTAGTGCTTAAATCACCAGAATGGAAGATGTACAAAGGTACAGTAGATAAAACTGTGTAATTTACAATAAAGTTTAAATCCACACTAACAAAATAATACTAAATTTATAGGGATACTAGTTTCAACATTCGAAAAGTCTTCTTCAGTCTGATGTTTGTTTGTGGGAGAAACACAAACACATAAAGGTAGCTGCCCTTAAACCTATTTATTCCAATGTTGGTTTGGTTATCAAAAACAACAACTATCTCTTGTTCTAGTAAAGTTCTTATAATCAAATATTCAAAATAATATAGATTTTGCTACTAAAATAAAGACTAATATACATGAAGGAAAAATGGTCAGTTTTGACGTTGATCCTTCGTTTACAAACATACCAATTGATGAAACAACAGAATTCCTCAAAATAAAAATTACCTGAACTTAACATTCCACTTCCAGTTCTGGTCCACACTTTTATCTTCCCACATTAAAGATAATGTATTCATATGCATGGGACAGTATTACAGACAAAAATATGAAATGGCTATGGTGAAACCCATCTCCAATTCTATGAAACAGCTTCATGGAGTATTTTGAAAGCAAATTACTTTGTACAGTGGATTAGAATATAAAGGAACTTCCTTGGTTCCAATTTGTTGATGACATTTTCTGTTTGGCCAAACAACAGAAATAATTTTCAAGCTTTTTCCCAGAAGATTAACAAGCTTTACAGAATTATTAAGTTTAAAGTTGAATGGGAAATCAAAAATGGGCTTTCTTTTTTTTTAGACATTCTCAAAATTAAAGCAGAAACATTAAATGTTCTTTTTATCTAAAGAAAACCAACAAACCCTTTAAGCTACATTCACTTTTTCTCGTGCCACCAAAAAACAGTTAAAACATTAATTATAACTTCAATGTTTTCAAGAGCTTATACAATTTGTCATCACATGACCCTTGATGATAAAATTAAAAATTTTTTTTACAATTTTTCAACAACTGCTGTACCTTACAGGCTTTATCAAAAATGCTCGTGAAAAGGCAAGGAAGACATTCTTTAGGAACAGTAACCAACAAACAGTACCATCTCAGTATGAAGATAAAAATAAAATACTTAGCATTAACTATAATTATAATAATGTGGCTTTAGAGAGTTGCCTGAAAAAGAACAACTTCGGTTGTTTATAAATATCCCAAGACCATTACAAATTTCTTACCCTCACAAACGTCTGCACCCCAAGATAAAGAACGGGGTGTCCACATAGTTCCATGCCAAGTCTAAAAAAAGTTTATGTTGGTGAAACTGGTAGAAATTTAGATATCAGACTTGAGGAACACAAGAAGGATGTTAAAAATGGTCAAAGAAATAATATTATTTTTCTACACACAAGAGAATCTAATCATAAAATAAACTGGGAATCAGCCAAGATAATACATAAAATCACAAATTATGTCAAAAGAAGAATTCTAGAAAGTTTGTTTATCCAAAGGTTGCCAAACTTCAACACATCTAAAAGTCACTTTAAGTAGAACACCTTTCTGATATCATATGTCATTCAAGAAAATGGAACTTGCATTATAAAATAAGCAGTGTGTGTGTGTGTGTGTGTGTGTTTTCTTCTTCAAACAAATGTTGGAATGAAGAGGAAACTATTATCCACATCAATCTGGTATTGTTCCAATGGTGTGTACAAAGGACTAAAAGACTCAAGCCAGTAGTATTTTATATTCCATTACATATTGAGATTCTCCATTACAACTTGTATCCCTTTGACATGAGAGTGAATGGAAATTATTGCCGAACATGTAATAGATCATAAACACTTAAATTTTAATGCTTCATTTTTGGTAATTTAACCACTTCTTCATGTGAAGCCTTTTGATAGAAAATGTATCATTCTTGTTGTTTTCTTGGAAAGGGGCCAAAGGGTTGCATGTTTAACCTATCGCACCACTATAGAATAGTGTGCTGTCAGTCAGTCAGTAGACACTAAAATGACATCTCATAAGGGATGCTTAATGTTGGAATTTGTACTGTTGTGATGTCAGTAAAATGTGCACATTCCATGAATCGTGAAAAGAATTATACACTCTGTAAGCTATAATACAGCATGACATTAACTTCAAAAGCTAGAAATAAAAAATATTTGTTACTCTTGAAACAGAACACTTTTGTGGACCCTATTCTGTTAATTTAAGCACTACTTAATGTGAAAGCTTTTGATAGAAAATTTGCTTTCTTTTATTGTTGTTAAGGTCTTACATCCACAGGGGTCTAATGAACAATAAAGTTTGAATGTTATTATTTTACAGTACATCCTACTTTTAATAAAAGTTTTCGTGAACTGCATCTTTGCATTAAGCTGACAATATATTTTAAGGGCTAATGATGTTCCAATGACCAGGCCCCTTTAATGAGACTTAAGGGTTGACAATACTAGGTGTTTAGCATTCATTATTAGTTCAAATAATTTCTTTCACTAACAGATATGTTTTGTGCAAATAAGTAATATTTAAAGCATAACTTATGTCAGTCAGTTTATAATAATTATACGTTTGGTAGTTCTAACATCAACAAATTTCTTGCTATTACAAGACATAAGATCCGAGAGGACTTTATTTTGTGTCGTAAATTGTGCTTCTTTGGTCTTTATTTAATATGATTCAACTGCTTTCACAGGCTTGAATATATTGATGTGAATGATTATTTACAGAAGGGTAAATTTTTATTCAACTACCAATCATTCCGACACCATCAATGTAATAAAAATGTACTAACCTGCCAGTTACCAACTAATGGTCCTCTGCCCGTTTTTTTAGATTTAAATTTCCTTGGGTCTTCTAGTTCTTTATAATCCTAAAAATAAAAAACACACATGTACTTTAATAATTGATACTGATAGTGGTGAAAGACAAATAATGGAACTCATAAACCCTACACTTACCACATTTTTGAATGTAATAAAATGTCAAATAACTAAACTACTTTAGACTAAACAATCCATTTGACATCCTTTGCTAGATAGTTACATGTTAGTTGTACAACTATCTGTGTGTTATTTTTCTAATATTCTCCATCATCACATAACATAGATGCTAATGAACTACTTTTACTTGTTAAAAGATGGAACCAAGGGATTTGCTAGCTTAAATTTACCAGATTGTGATCCTTATGTTGAAGAACAGATAAGGAAAAATAAGATTTATTTTATCAGGCAGCAATCTTTATGACACTATGGAAGTTGGAGAACATCCTTACTATTGCAGAGTAACAATGATATGATCACATCTTTGTCTTTATAGGACTTATATATATATCAAGAAACAAGAAATTTTTCTGAACCTTCAACTAAACAAAAATAGTGTCCCAGATATACATAGTTTTAGTGCTATGAATCTTTGGCTTTACACACACACATACATATAATACTAGTGTCCTAATCCTTCACCTAAACACTTATACAGTACTAGTGTCCTAATCCCTCACCTAAACAAACACACACACATCGCTAGTTTCTTAATCGTTCACCTAAACATGCACACAGTACTAGTGTCTTAATCCTTTACCTAAACATACACACACACAGTACTAGTGTCCTAATCATCACCTAAACATAAACAACACACAGTACTAGTGTCTTAATCCTTTACCTAAACACACACAAACAGTACTAGTGTCCCAATCCTTCACCTAAACACACACAAACAGTACTAGTGTCCCAATCCTTCACCTAAACACACACAAACAGTACTAGTGTCCCAATCCTTCACCTAAACACACACACAAATAGTACTAGTGTCCCAATCCTTCACCTAATCACACACAAATAGTACTAGTGTCCCAATCCTTCACATAAACACACACACAGTATTAGTATCCCAATCCTTCACCTAAATACACACAAACTGTACTAGTGTCCTAATCTATCACCTACACACAGTTTTAGTACTGGGAACCTTCAACTAAACAAATATACACAGTTTATGTCCTGAACCTTTACATAGACATGCACAGTCTAGTGTCCTGAACCTTCACCTAGAGATACAGTACAACTTTCACCTACACAAACACAGTTTTAGTGTTAGAAACTTCCACCTACACATGCACAGTTTTAGTGTCATGAACCTTCACCTTAAGACAGATATTATGTCCCAAATCTTCACATAAGACAAACAATTTTAGTACTGAATAAAACAGATAATGAATTGTTTTTTACTATTAACCCTCTTGCTACAGGAGGTCAAGGTGCACATCACAACTTTATTAAACAGTTTCCTTCAAAATGTAATTAAACTACTTTATTATCATTCTATACAAATAAACTAGGCATCAAAACATAGTTAATAAATCAAATTTTAATACAAGTTTTAAGTTCTTAAACTGATAAGGAAATATTTTTAAAAAATTCTCAGTCTCCCCGAGAATGAAAATTGTGACATTTGCTCTTTAGGTCTTCCCTCTTTATTTACCACTCCTCCAACAATAATGGAATTTAATGCAAATTACTCGTTACGACATTCATATTAATCACGCATAGCATAATTTTTTATAACCTTCAATCTTGTTTACAGAGCCATAAACTAGAAAATCAGACCCACTTGCCACTCCCACCTGTCACATTCTCATTTTCACAAATTACCAATAGTTCTCACTGATGTTTTATACAACAATATTTATAACCAATAGAAATTCAAAGTCTTAATCTATCAAATGATGTATTATGTTACATAATTTTCAGAACAAAAAATTGTCTACTTTGTCTTCTGTTTGAAACTTTTTCTCACCATATTCACATTAACAAGCTTAGCTTTTAACCCTTTCGAGACAGGTCATGAGTGAAAGGCCATGTCATCTCGTTTGTTGACTCGCATTCAAAATTTTATTGAACTACTATTTCATAAATTTATGTCAATAAGTTTGGTATCAAACTGTAGATTATAATTCAAATTTTAGTATTATACCTTACTCAATTTCTTAATTTAAAAGTAAATATTAAAAAACACAGATAAACATTGATTTTTGTGTGTTACATGGTATGTTGAATGCAGCACTGGTTCAAATTAGATGTTTGTGAAATCAAAATACTAAGTCTATAGTTTTGTATGAATTAGAAACTCAAATTCCTGATATTGACAAGCTAGAATATAAAATAAGAATCTCTTATCTTTTCAATTTGCTAACATATTGCTCATGTAATAAATCAAACACAGTGGCACCCCACCCACCTCTTTCCATTTTTGGAAATGCTCCCTTATATACACTTACTTCTATATATGACATGAATAACAAATTGGAAGCTCAGAATGTCCCCCTAGTGTCTTTCTCAGCCATTTTAATGGACTTGACACCATTTCTTTCTTTTTGAACAAATATTTCAATGAGGTAGGGTGTGTCTTTAGTCTGCTTGAAATTTCATATTTTTTTAAACTAAAATACATCTTAGTTACTAAGCTTTATAAATTATAGTGGAATTCTGTGGTATTAATGTAGTAATTTATGATTTTTTTAGTTATTCAAATGTCTATATAAAAACCTAAAAAAAAAAATTTTGTTTCATATCCTCCACATGCAATTTTTTTAAAGGCTTAGCAACCTCCATCAAGCAGCAAGTGAGTACAAAGGTCGTAACTAGAAGAGATAATTGTTTGCTTTACTTCTTTATTTACTTTTATAATGTTACAAATATAATGTATAATAATTGAAATGTGACTGTATTTTACAAAATACTAGTTTACTAAAATACAGCCAAGACAAGTTACTTTGTATAGACCAAAGGTCAGTTTTGAGTTATTGGATACGGTAACATGAGTGCATGTGAACCACATCATTGTAACTTCTGTATTTCTAGCCAGGCATGGCTGAAAGGTTAATGTAATAAAAATAATAAATATATATAAATGTATAATATTATCAGATTTAAGCTATTTAGTCTAAACATTTATGTTTTTGTGTTATAATTTGTGTTCATTCTAGAATGGAAGAGGCATAATTTATATTTATTTCCTAATTTTTTATAGTGGTTTTGAGATCGGTCAAATCTACTGAACTCGTAGAGAGATTAATTACTGAAAATAACATATAAAATATAAAGTTTTTTCTTAAGAAATGTTTGATAACTATGTGGACATTATAAAGATTTCGCATATGAAATTTCAAAATTTTCTGATGCATAAAAGTATTTTTAATCTTAAAATGAATATTATTTTGCAATATGCAAAAAGCAAAAAAAGACCAAAATTGGAAACAAAAAAAATTTACAACATAAAAATAACTAAGTTCAAAACAGTGTGTGATTACTACAAAAAAGTTGCCCTACTCACCTTAGATTCTACATGGTCATTTGCTATATCAATAAATACAACATCACGCTGTTTTAACTTCTCGGGGGGAAGGTTGTGTACCTGCATAAAATATAAAACTAATTAACTTGAATGTGGCAAATATAACAAACTCTTAAAAACACACGTATTTAAGTTCAGTCTTATCCATACAACAAAAGAAAATCATTACATGGCCTTTCTTAAAGTAAGAACTTTCAACCATTATAATCACTGTGGTAATCGGTAAGAAATTGTCAAAAACACCAATCATACTGGTAATGGTTCAAAAATTGCCAAGAAATATCACAGTTGCACTTGTAATAGGTAAGAAAGAATTAAACATCACAATCACACTAGTTAGAAACAAGAATGTGTCATGAAACATCACAATCACACTGGTTACAGAATGATGTGTCATGAAACATCACAATCATACTGGTTAGAGATAAGGATGTGTAATGAAACATCACAATCATACTGGTTAGAGATAAGGATGTGTAATGAAACATCACAATCATACTGGTTACAGAATGATGTGTCATGAAACATCACAATCATACTGGTTACAGAATGATGTGTCATGAAACATCACAATCATACTGGTTAGAGAATGATGTGTCATGAAACATCACAATCATACTGGTTGGAGACAAGGATGTGTCATGAAACATCCCAATCATACTGGTTAGAGAATGATGTGTCATGAAACATCCCAATCATACTGGTTAGAGATAATGATGTGTAATGAAACATCACAATCATACTGGTTACAGAATGATGTGTCATGAAACATCACAATCACACTGGTTAGAGAATGATGTGTCATGAATCATCACAATTATACAGGTTAGAGACAAGGATGTGTAATGAAACATCACAATCATACTGGTTAGAGACAACGATGTGTCATGAAACATCACAATCATACTGGTAATGGTTCAAAAATTGCCAAGAAATATCACAGTTGCACTTGTAATAGGTAAGAAAGAATTAAACATCACAGTCACACTGGTTAGAAACAAGAATGTGTCATGACACATCACAATCATACTGGTTAGAGAATGATGTGTCATGAAACATCACAATCATACTGGTTGGAGACAAGGATGTGTCATGAAACATCATAATCATACTGGTTAGAGACAAGGATGTGTCATGAAACATCACAATCATACTGGTTGGAGACAAGGATGTGTCATGAAACATCACAATCATACTGGTTAGAGACAATGATGTGTCATGAAACATCACAATCATACTGGTTAGAGACAAGGATGTGTCATGAAACATCACAATCATACTGGTTAGAGAATGATGTGTCATGAAACATCCCAATCATACTGGTTGGAGACAAGGATGTGTCATGAAACATCCCAATCATACTGGTTAGAGACAAGGATGTGTCATGAAACATCACAATCATACTGGTTAGAGATAATGATGTGTAATGAAACATCACAATCATACTGGTTAGAGACAAGGATGTGTCATGAAATATCACAATCATACTATGTTTGAAATTATACTATTAAAATCAATACTCACATTTTCCTGTTCTCCACAGTCAGGTGCATGCATTGTTTCTATACAAAGGTAGAAGTTGTTTCTCATGTAATCTGGATTCTGTGGAAAAAAATAGTTTTACTACTATTAAAATAACACCACTGGGGAATATGACATATTGGGTCATGATGGACCTATCAGTTTTAACAATTGCAATTGACTATAATAACTAAAAAAAAAAAAGTACTGGTAACAATGCAATGTTGTTTTAGTACAAGAAAGAATGAGTAATTAGTTATCCCACATATTCAGTTTAACTTTTCATACAACTGAGTTGACCACAATCTTCACCAGTTTTCAAAAATACTTGTTCTTCTTCTAAATGAAAAATTATCAACACTGTTGAGACCTATGTAAAACAAAACACTTTAAACCTTGACATTAGTCCAACGTTAGAAGCAATAGTTGCAGTGCTGTGGATTATTGTAGATTTAAATATTCTCACCTGTATCAATATCAAAGTACAACTTGGACTGATGGAAATAAAACTATTAAACTAATTTTTTAATTAAGTCCACATTTGTTTTACACTGAATCTAAATTTAAAATCAACATTACTTCTGAGGCCAAAATAAGAGCCAACGTTATCAAGATCCAATTTTTTTGGTCAGTCCTAAATTTCTAAATTTGTGTCAGCTAAATCAATTTCTGTACTGCTGTTGAGGTTGATGTATTTCTTGCTTTATGGCTGTTGTTATAAACTCAGCATATCTTATTGTAATTTTGTATCATTCTATATCTTAAAGTATTTCAAATTTTAAAAAATGAGGAACTTTCCACTTTTATATTTATTTATATAAATCAATATTTAGTTTTTGCATGCTTGATCAGTACAAAATTATGCTTCTACAGTTAGCCTTATACCTGAAGGAAACAGCTCATTATGCCTTAACTCTCTCACTAGGAGCTTGGTCCAAGGGACTGACCTTGTAACCACTTTGTACTTGTTATAGTTTTCATGCTATAACTTTTAATACAGTATGCACATTTTCACGAAATTTTACAGATTACCAGTGAACATTAAAAGGCTGTCATACACAAAATATGAGATTTTCTTTATTTACTATTAAGATTTTATAAGTAATGATTTGCTTATGCATTTTTCTTGACAAATATTGACTATCCAAAATACAAAGTAATTTTGATTTTAAGATGGAAAATACTTCTATGCATCAGAAAATTGTCAAATTACAAATGGGTAATGATGATGACAAAACCTTGTCGAAACGTTGTACATTTGCTGTTATGTTAAAATTATATTAAAGTTTTTCTTTATTACTCATTCAAGCCATCTCCAAGCATTATTAGTCTCAAAGTGGGTTCCTCGTCATCGGACCTTCAGATAGTTATCAAACGTTTTTATAGAAAAAAAAACAAACTTTGTATTTTATTTGTTATTTTCACCACTCTATCTCTGTATGAGTTTGGTAAATTTGACCGACCTCGTAACTACCATAAAAAGTTAGGAAACAGATATACATTACACTTTTTCATTGCAGAATAACTAAGTACAAATGATAACATGTAACCACAAATGTTTAGTCTAAATAGCTTAAATCTCATAACATTACAAATCTATTTATCTATTTATTTTATTGATGTCCTAAATTTCAGTTTTCTTAAAACATAGAACAGTAAATAAAGATGTATAGAAAACAATGATCTCTTCTAATTACAAACATTGTACTCACGATTTAGGCATACATAAACAAGTATTTCCAGAAATGGAAGAGGTGGGCAGGGCCACCTTGGTTGATTCGCTAAGTATAATAATATCTTAGAAAACAGAAAAGATAGGAAGTTCATATTTTATATTCTAGCTTGTCAATATGGGTAATTTGAGTTTCTAATTTATAAGAAACTACAGACTTTGTATTTGGACATTACAAATATATAATATAAAACAAAGTTGCTTTCAACATACCATATGACACACAAAAATTGATATTTAGGATTTTTGGTCAAAATCAACTTATATCTAATAAACTAACTCTTTTCAATAAACAATAAGTTATTTTACTTAAGCACATTGTTTGAACATGATAAACTTAACAATAATATTCAATAAGTATCAGTGATGGGTAAAGTACTGAAAACATTTACTTGTGTAAAAGTACTGTTACTTTAAAAATTTTCACTTTAATAAATAGTACCAAATATATACAATACTTAAGTAGCAATAAAGTGAAAGGTATCGACAAAAAATCAGTAATGATAGCATTATTAAAAACAGCCTACATTCAACACATAAAAGGTACTAACAAATATAAACTTTCTTTTATTTTTATTAAAACAATCAGTATTACTTTCTACGGTACAGCTCTTCACACACTACACTTATTATTTACTTTCAGCAGCTGCCGATTTTCAAAGTTCCTATTAGACAGAATAGCCCTGCAGAACTAAACACATGCTCCCATACTGCAATTTTACTGAATTTCCCATTATTGTTTTCAGTGAAAATAAGTCTTTCAAATAAGACCATGGATGATTATTTGTGTCAGACATGATGGTCACAGTGGGATGAAGTTATCATAATCAATACTAGATGTAAAATGGCTGTGTTCTGTTCCTACTCAGCAGCACAGGAAATACCACTGCTTGTGATTATCTTATTTGAAAGAGTAAGCATGCTGTGATTGATGTAAACAAACACTGTCACCATGTCAACCAGTGTGATTTTTCTCCAGTTTTTTCAAATGTAACGATAGTCTTATAAAAATAAAAGTAGCTAATTTCTTCTTGATTTTACTTAAAGTAAAATATCTTTTAGTGTACTTAAGTAACAGTAACTTCCAGAAAAGTTACTTAAATAGTGTAACAAAGTTATGCTACTTTGTTACTCCCCAACTCTGATAATTATGGATTTAAGTCAGTGGAATACTTTAGCTGATGTCTTATCATAGAAGATTATTTCTGTGACTTTCAAATAGATGAAATTTAATATGAAAACATTTTCAGTAATGCCAAACATGGATTATGGAATTACAAGATGATTGCCATTTCTGTAGATTGTTCCTAAGTGTTCTAAATCTCCATTCAGATTCCTCTGTTCACACCACCTACAGGAGCTCCACCTAAGCATTTTCTCGACAAACCATAAATTACTGCCTAAATCATTTTATTTAATCTATGCTGACATGAATAGTTTATTATATTTCAAACAAGAAATCCAAAACAACTCTGGAGGTGTAACTGGTGATATTACTAATCTTCTAATTTCTCTACACAATATCTTTTTTATCTACATACTAAAATTACAGTTCCAATGACACTGACCATACATGAACTCAAAAACTGGGACTATAAATTGTTAATCTTTACATCCACCAAATAAGAAGATAGCATGATCAATTACAAAATAATTTCTTATTAGTTATTTTGGATTAACACATTTGCAGGAAATTGTGTATCAATGAAATTCTTTTTTCTTTCTATGATTCAATTTTTTTTTAAACATTAGGTAATTTACTTAACTCTTTTAAACCCGTACTTTTTGGTTTTCGGCACGTTCTGCAAAATTATTTTCATAATTTTGTGGATAATAATAAAAAGGTTTGGATTAGTTTTCAGCCAAAGAGACAAATGTTAGTAGTCACTATCCACTCAGGTTTAAAGAGTCAAAGCTAGAGATCTGATTGCCTAACAGTAATATAGTGTTAGAAATGGACAAACTGATCAACTAAGAGAGGAGAGATAAAATTAATACAGTGTATCAAAGATAAAACAAGAATTTAATAAATCATTTTAAAAACATACCAAATCTGATTATATCGTAACAAAAATGTTATACTTGAAAACACAAAAGATATTGCTTCTCTTGCTTATAATTCTACAACTTTTTTAAGATATTGAATACAATAAGACTAAAACTTACTGTTATCACTGCATAGTTGTTTTCATTCATCAAGGAGCAAATGGAAGAAAAGATAAATCAAAATTATAACACATTCAATATGCTCTCAAACCATTTGTTAATAACTATTATTCTACAGTATAGAGGGCAGATGGCTTTTACAGAGAACTTCAAACAACTAAACAAGAAACTACACAGCATTGAAAGAATTCTAGAAAACCTTTCTGATTTATGAGAGCTGTGTATAGAACATAAAAACATTTTACAAACTGATTATCTGTACATGCAAAATATGGTACTAATTTCTTGCTTTAAAAATGCCCATACAAAAGATACACAAATAACTATTTCAACATCATATTCTCTTTGTATTTAATTCTTATCCCCAATTGACTCACTATAATATTTAAACATTATCAACTACAAATGTTCATGTAATATTTATTTCTTTATAAAATGTATAACCAGTTCTTTCGCATGTATTAAATCATTACTCTCAATAAAAATAGTTACCTAAAAAATTAGAAAAATTTACTTACTGAAAATGTATTTTGATTAAATTTGAAAAACAATTTTAATCTTGGATTAAGAAATTATATAAGCTATTTTTTATTATTTATTAAATAAAGCACTATAATAGATCTTGCTATCTATAATTTTTTGTATAACTTCAATTTGTTTTTAAGTGTAACTACTATTTCCATATAATGTTCACATACTGCATTTTCCTATTTAACCCTCTCTCTCTCTACAAGTTTGGTCATTTTGACCAACCTTGCGACCATGATCTAACCATGAAACTACACATACTACTACAGATTGAGTGCATCTTCATGAAATTTGGCAAGCTTTTAGTAAACATTACAAGTCTTTTGTATACACAAAAACCTCAGCACTACAAAATTATGACATTGAGACAGAATAACTCAAAACGAATCCTGAGAATTAGCTAACCTCAAAATTGTAAAAAATAAAATTCTCTTCCTGTTGGTTATAAAGCAATCTAATAACAAATGTCAGAAAGAATTATTCACATTTTTTGAAGACAGCATGTGCAAGGAGGGGTGTGGCATGCAAGTTTCAGTTTATAGCAAAGAACTTATTAAAGGAAGAAGCAAAAATGCTATAAATTTTAACTCAAGAATATCAAACGCATAAGTGGATAAATCCTTGAAACTTAGAAAATAATGCAGGTGCGGAAAGAAATTCTAAACTGAACATTTCAGAGCAAAGAAGTGTCACATGGTAAATTAAAAGGACGAATGAAAATTTATTTAAATACTTCCTTTTGAAATTAAGAAATTAACATATTGACATGAATTGATAATAAAGTAGTTTTATTAAATTAGGACTAATTCTGTAAAAAGGTCATGCCATGCACACTTTGACCTTCCTGTACCTAGAGGGTTAAATGACTAAAACACTCACTTCAGTCTTAAGGTAATAACACTACTATTTATATTAACTTCAAAGAAATGTTAGAAAATTGAATTTTTAATTAAATGTAGAAATATTCTTGCCTTAAATTCAATGCAGCCATGTGTGCTTTTCAACAGGCAGAAAGATTTTTCCAAGCACTATTTACCTGGATATGAACATTTAAATAATGATTTTATGTTTCACAAAAAAAAATCACATAGAAAAATAAACAAACAGTGTCTATATGTCCTTCTCAACGAACTCTGAAAGCCTCATCTTGCACTATGGTACCTGAATTACACTGATGTAACATAAGTTTGTTTTTGGACATCAATAATTTACTCAAAGTCCTCACTAGTGTTTTCTATTATTAAAAGAACTCTGTTACTAATACAGAATATTTTAGGGGAGATGAAACCAAGCTTGTCCCTTAGCTATCCTTAATTCACATTGATCAGAATCTTGTGATCACAACACTCAAAGTAAACTACACATGAGCAGCCAATGTGAAGTATTGTAGTAGCTAATTCATCACATTTACCAATCAAACCTAACTGATGACTCATTGTCAGGCGTTCCCCATCATTAACATCTCTACACATCGTTAAGGATATTATATGCACTGCAAAATATAGATCTATCAGGATTAACTGTTAGCTTAAAACAAAATACTTAAAATGTTTTTTTCTGCAAAAACAAAGAAATAACATTGAGTGAAATAACTTGTATCATTTGATTTTAAAACCAAAGCATAATCACTATGATCAAAGAAACATAATCTGTAATTGACAAACCCAGGACTGGAAGACCAAAAAAGAAGGATAAGCAACACTCGAAGATAATATCCTTAAGGAAAAGAAAGAAGACAAGTAGTGATTTGCTAACAGAAATGGTAGAAGGCTCAGGTGTCATAGTCCATCCGTCAATAGTATGATGGTCACTTGATAATAGAACTTAAATGATGTGTTGCGGAAAGAAAACCTGTGTTAAGAAAGGGAAACAAGAACAAAGAAACTGGACTATGTAACAATGGTAAATGGTGCTTTGTACAGATGAGTCCAAGTTTCAATTGTTTGAATCTAAACAAAGAAGTATATGAGGCAACAACCAACTGAAACTTATAAAGAACTTTGCTTGAAGCCAACAATTAAGCATGGAGGAGGTTCAATTCGAGTTTGGGGATGCATATACTCAATTAGTGTTGGAAAATTGCTGAAAATTGATGGTACATTGAATGCAGCAATATACAAACAAATTTTAATCCAAAGTTTGGGGATGCATGTCCTCAAGTTGTGTTGGAAAACTGCTGAAAATGGATAGTATATTAACTGCAGCAAGATACAAACTAATTTTAATCCACCTTGCTATCCCAGTAGAGCAAGATTTATTTCATCTCACAACAAGATAATGATCCAAAACTGTCAGATGGAATTAAGGAGATATGCAATTTGACACATTTTTTGAAAGGCAAATTGCATACCCAGCTCTGCCCTTGGTGAAAACCCAACAGATCTGGTGTAAAGACTACAATTAAAAGTGAATTCTCAGTTTGTAATGGGCTTTCTTTCTGAAGCTCTTGCAATTCTCTTGAAATGTCTTAACTTAAACGTTCCACAGGTTATTTTAAGAAAGCTGCAGTCCTCTGTCTTTTTTTCTCTTGAAAACACGAACAACACCCACAAATTTGCTAAAAATGACCAAAATCTCCGAGAGGATTTTCAGCAGTGTTTATTCTCCAAGAAACTTGTTGTAAGATAGAGAAAGTGAGGAAGTGTAGAAGCTGAACCAAGAAACTTGGTAGAAATGACAGAGCAGTTGCTTCACTTCTTGTTCAAAGCAGCCCATTTCACAGTAGAAATGTGGTTAAGATTTCTACTGTCTGAATTTGGTACATTTAATGCATTAAATTTAATAATAATATAGAATTTTGCTTCTATGAAAAGCTATATTCTACATCAAGAAGTAAGAAATATCCTCAAACTATTAGAAAAGTTGACCAAGTAAGAATATATCTTTGAGAATCACTTTTTCTACACGTTTCAATCTATAAGGATTTAACAAGACGAAAATATAAACACAACTTAACCAAATATACATAGAAAATATTGTTTTCATGAAATACTAGAAATAGGATAATCATTCTCCATACATATAGCTACTAGATTGTTATTAATTTTTTGAAAACATGTTCATAAAACATTTAATTTGATTACGATTTTTTTTTTCATAAATGTGTATTTACACTGAACACAAAATTTTAGTTTCCTTATGCATTAGAGTAGAAAAATGCTAAATGTATAAAACTTAATTAGGTACATATATAATAAAATGAGTAATTAAACAGCAAAAAAATGAAATAACTGTCAGTTTCTATAATCAAACATAGAGAATCAAAATTAGTTTCCATTTCTGAACAACCAGCTTGTGGTTGGTTTCAATAAGAAGAAACAACAACCATGTCGATACAGTTTTTCAAAATTATACAGAAAGAAACTAAATTAGATGCCAGCATTTTGTAATTCTCCTTATTCAATTAGTTGTATTTTAGCTGTGGGTAGGACACTGTTAAGATGTAATGATATCTTGTGCATTCTTATAACACATCACGTTCACACTCCAGGGTAAAGAATTATAAAAGTCCTATGACATTGAGTTAGTTAAATGTTAAAGAATCTTTCACTTACTCTATTGCTAGATCATATTTTCCGTCATGAATTAATTCCCTCTGATAACACTTAGGGAAAAAAACTTCTGCAACATAGTGAAAACTCTGCCAGAAACTACAATATATTCCATACTGATAATTTCATACATAACTATGGGAAATTTTGCAATTTTAACATGTAGTAAAAAGTATTTTTTCTGACATTTAGTAAAGTTCCTGGATTTATTCGACTCCTTGCACCAAAAGGCTCACTGGAGGTTCATGAAGAAGCTTGGAATGCATATCCATACTGCAAGACAGGTATGTAAATGTTAAGAAAAGTCACAGGCCCATTTAATTTCATGTATTTCTTTCTATTTTGTAATTTGTCATGTTGCTTTGAGATTCTTAAGTAACCAGGCAGAATTTAATACAATCTTCAGTTCCTTATGTAAAAATAAAATTAAAATGCAAGCAATATTTCTAAGAAAATTATATGTTAAACCTGAGAAAATTAAGTTATACTTTGGCACAGAAAACAAAAACTTGTACATTCAGCCAAAAGAAACTTCTTAGTGTACTTATACAATGATTGATATAAATACATTTTTGTTATCTTATGCTCTTTAAAGGTTATTTATAATGCAGTTGGAAATAAGAAAAATACATTTGTTCTTATTGTTTAATGAAAACATTTGGTAGTTTAAGTAATGTAGAAATGTTGTGTATCACCAGGCCTACAGTACTTTAAAAACACAAGTTTGGCTAAAATATAATTATAACTAGATCTTTTTGACTTTTCTAAAGAATTTTACATGCACAAAAAGGAAAAGTATTAAACATCAAAGAGATAATTGTTATGTCTTAGCTCATACACAAATTATTTTTCATTTTGAAATTCAGTAAAATGTGAATAGCTGGGCATAACATCTTGATACGTTGGTTTTTGTTCTCGGAAAACTTTTAAAACAATGTTCGACTGCTCTTTTTCTGATAGAAACAACTGCTATTTGTGAACATCACAAAATAGCTTTCTTTTCTTGTCTTAGTACAAAAGACTAGATTATGGTGCTTATTCATGGATGTATTGAAGGTTTTTTTAAATGAAATATCCTATCCGAGCCACCTAGTTATGAAAAGTAATCAAAGTTTTCATTCTCAGTTAGCTAAACATATTTTATTATGCAAAAATTGGATGAGTAATACTTTTCATAGGACAATTCAATATGTACATTTTGTAGGCTTTGTTTTTCCCCCAACAGCTTTTATTAAGGTAGAAACATTATGCAGAGTGGTCATATTCTTTCTAAACTTTTGTCCATGATTTTGCAGACTTGCACACGCATGCATATGACACACTGATATTTCAATCTTTTCGTACATTATCTTATTAAAACCACTTTAGCTTGTCCTTTTGGTTATAAAAAGTAATAAAACTTCAGAAATTGCTTACTCCTGACCATAGTACTACAAAGACATCACAATTTGATGTCAGACAATCAAATGCTGTGTTTTTATTCCATTTTAAAAATTTTATCTATCCTTTCCAAAAATATAATGAATTAGATAATTATCACCATATAAAATAAGAAAGTGACTAGTAAGGGTTGTTAAAATTTGACAATAATTAGCACAGTTTGCACTTGCACACAGGTTCTAAGAAAAAGAGTAAATATACTGAATTGGCCCGATTATAAGGTGATGTTTTTTGATTCATAATTAGGGAGTAAAATTCATAGCCCCTTCTCCCTACTCTAGCTTGTTGCATTCCTGAATGTCCAGATAGCATCCATCTACACATGGGCACCAGATGTTTGCTCAAGGTTATGCCTAATCCTTGCAACTAATCCACCTACAGGCTGTTCAGTTATAGTATTGATTTTGTAGACTTTTCCAGGCTCATAAACATCCTTTGCTATAGGGCAATGAGTTTTGATAGTAATGGAGCATGTCACAGAATATCAGAAACCATGAGTATGAGCAAACTAAAAATTTACATATTCTCACCAGCAATACAACTTTTTGGTCTCCCTTTTCTCCACATTTAACATTTTAAAAGGCTTTCCCTTTAAATAAAATTTTAAAAATACTTACCTAGCCAGGTGATAGATCTTGTAAGTGTACTGACCAGAACTGTACTTCCCCCCTAAAAGGGGGTAATTTTCAAAGGGTTCATTTCTCAAGACTTCTATCCCTTCTCCTCCCCCCGTTTCATTTTTACTGGCCTGTGCCACAGAATACAGCTGTCCGACTTGATACTGTTACCAAAGGTTAGTTATAGCTCGTAAATTATGTCAATGGCAAAATAAATAAACTATTTTCCTTAAATATGTTTAAAACTTAGAAAAACATCACTGCTTGAAATTATTTTAAAACAAGTTTATATACATACATAAGTTACACCTATTTTAATATTACTATTATCTGAAGTAAACCATGAAATTACACTAAACCAAACAACGCAAGAAAAAAAAAGTAACAATTTGAATCTAAATAGACATTATAACAAGGTATAATTTGAGAGAAAAAATAGTATTCCAGCTTTCTATGCAGGGATATTACATGTATTTGAATTTTAACTCGCTTTTTGAAAAGTCCCACACCAGCATTTGTCAATTTGAATTAGAGCACATATTATGCATTATTTCAAAGTTAACATTTTCCCTACCTGACAATGTATTTCTTATAGATACTCACCTCTTAACACAGAAAGCTATCTTTCCCGTGTATCTGCCACAAAGATTTGCATGCCACTATCCTTTAGGTAACTCCCACCTAAACACACAAGATTGCTCATGATTTGTGCAACTGCATAATGACTCTTTACCCAGATTGGTAAGGAGGAAGAGGCAAACAAGCCCCATGTCTTGCAGGTATGAGCATAAAAAGAACATGGCCGTAGGAGTACTTACACACAAAAGGTTAGAGAGCCAATATGTGTAATGAGGTTGAGGAGCATTCAGACCATACCGAGTACTCACCTCAACTCTACTGTCAGATTTATTGGACTGATGCCAGCTGCAAGGAGGAGGGCACAGGAATTATGAGTGCATATTGTTCTCAATTCTACCATCAAACTCTTGGACCAACACCAGCTGTGGGAGACTAGACAGGGAAGAGAGGATGAAGAAGAGGTACAATGGTAGAGGGTAGGATTGAGGACAGAGTGGAAGCAACTGATGAAAGCGAGGATTGATGTTGGGCAACCTTAGCCCATGATTCAATCAAATCAGGAATACCACCAAACATCAGGGTCTAGGTGAATGGCTTAAAGAATGGAAGAAAGAAGTCAAACTTTAGATAGGAGAGTATCCCTACTCAACAATCACCAGTAACAAGAAGGCAAGTAAGCAGGAAAGGTAAAGGGGGGAACAGCCACAGTGCAAAATGCACTGGGGGATGGAGGAGTGACTCAAACTGGAGGTGTAGAGAAGAGAGGTAAAGAAGTGTCGTACAAAGGATCAGGGAAA